CTCGGCGCCGTCGCCGGACTGCCTCTGCAGCAGCGCCTCGGCGGCCGCGCGCGCCGCGGCCGCCCCGGCCTCTGCGGCCAGGTCTGGGATGGTATTCGGGGCCGCGCCCTTGCCGTCCTAGGGCGGGGCTGGAGGGGTGGAACCCGCCCCTCTGCGTCCGCCTCCACCTTCCCCTCTGCCTCCGCCTCGGCCTCCACCTCCCCCTTCCGCCTCCGTCCCTTGGGGGCGGGAGGGAACCCTCCCCTCATCTTTGTCCCTCCTTCCCCCTTCCCGCCCCTTCCCCCCCCTGCATCTGCCTCCGCCTGCCCCCGCCTCCTGCCACCTGGGGCTGGCCACCACCCGACGGAGAACCAGGCCGACCAGGCTTGGAGGGGACGGCCGACACGGCCCTGGGCGGGGAGCTCCAGAGCGTAAGAGTGCGCAAAGGGGTTCTCGCTGGACGTTTCCTATGGCTCTATGACCATACCTCGCGGCGCCTTTTGTAGCTGGCAAGATGAGGATATCTCTCAACACGGGGCTCTCTCGACCGGCTGGCCCAGATAGTTACCTCAAAGTCGGGATTCCCCGAATTGCGTTAGTGAAGTGAAGAGGACATGCTTGTAAGGCCTTACGTAAAATACAGGAGACGATCCTCCTCCTCCTCCTCCGTCTCCTCCTCCTCCTCCGCCTACTCCTCCTCCCTTACATACATACAAGGCATATGAAACGGCATTCATTCAAATAACGAATTCCGCAACCCCTATAGGGGCGAAAGGAAGTGTGAAGGGCGAACGGCTCAGAGCCCGAAAGGCGGGTGCAGGGCTAACAGCCCTGTCGAGACACGCCACGGCATCGAGAACCGAACCCCTTTAGGATATGGAAGCTTGCAACTGCGAAGCATTCTGAGCTGGGCAATCTTGTGGGTCGTACACGGACACAACAGATGGTTCGCGCGACCAGTGGAGTACGACCCACAACGATTGCAGAACAGGGCAGCTGTACCAGCCGCCTCCAGGCGTCCTGCCCACAGGTCGTGGGCGGGCTCCAGCGGGGCTGCTTGGGTGAGGACAGCATGCAAGGAAGCCGGCAGCGGGGTGCAGGGACCGCGGCGGAACAAGTGCGGGTTGGCCGTCGCCCTCCCACAATCAACACACTGCCATCTGTTGAGGGTCCACTTGGAACGATGACGGGTGGGCCCTCTCGTGGGAACTTTTGGAGCCCTGGGGATCTTCTGGAGGTCCCCGAACACATCCCTAGACTTACCCCAGGGCTCGAGCATTGAAACGAAGGCCTGGAACACGTCAAGCCACAGCTTATAACCTGCCTCGACACGCTCCACATCTTCAGGGTTCAACTGATGTGTGGCAATCTCTTTGGCGAGCACGCCGGCCCAGTGGTTGCCCAGGACCCTCGTTTGCTCTTCCAACCCCCTGTCGCCACGCAGAAGGGTCTGGTGAGCACGGATCTTGTGCATAGTCCAGCCTCGCATCCCCGTGTTCATATACACTTGGCGCCAGTGTCCAGCCTGCTGCTTTCTGCCATCTCTCGAGCGGAGAGGGGTAGCTGCACCATGCACAACAGCTGCGCAATCTTGAATGACACGGGCTGGCTCAGCATCATGGTCGATATGAAAATGCGCCGTACCACGGAGCTCTGACACGTTGGCGTTACAGGGGGCGTAGGAGGGGAGGGCGCCTCGGACGGCCCTGCGGAGGTCTCCGTTCGGGGCGACTTCGACAGCGCACCAACCCCCTCTGCTGAGGAGGGGGGGGGGAGGGGATGAATCGCGGACCCATCGATAGACACTTCCACCCCCGGGGTGTCCCAAACAAACTGGTCGACGAGGCCCCCTCGGCCCAGGTACTCAACAACATCGGCGTCGGGGGGGGGGTTCTCGATAATGGGCACTGGGAGCCACGGGCAGTTTTCAACGAGCTCCGCGCCCAAGCCTTGGCGAAGAGAAACCCCGAAAGGGCAGCTCCAGACTCGATGGAACGGGGTGTCTGGGGCTCCGCAATGTTGGCATCTCGGGGAAACTTGGTATCCTCGCCTATGGAGGAGGGTTCCAGTGCAATGACATCCGGTGAACATCGGACGAAGGATCTGCTTTGCAGCAGGCGTGTGCTTTGATGAACTCCAGGCTCGCGAGACAGGGTGGGCCCATAGCCCGCGCCCACGAATCTGCGCGGCTCGGTCGGAGCCGACGCCACACAGCTTGGCGGAGACAGTCCTGTGGAGAGCTTGCCTCTGTAGGCCCTTGCCTGAGAGGTCAAAAATCAGGGCTGGCGGGGCAAGGGTAACGTTGCAGACGGTTCTACTTGGACCCACTCCCAACCAGCCTGCTTGCACCAGAAAAGCATGTGCGAGAGGGGGCGCTGGGTGACTTGATGCCATCGTCCAGGAGGGGGTTGGGCGTCAAATCGTTCCTTGGCCAGGTTGAAGGCTTCCCTGAGTTCTCGCGCCATGAGGTTATCTTTAGCACAGAGCAGCGGGTCCGCGGCAGACCACCACTCGGCACAATACCTGCGGAGCGAGGCTCCATCGTGAGAAATGGGGTCTCTGCTGGGGGCCAGGCTCCAGCACAAATCAAGATTAGCCCCTTCTCCCCAGAGTCCGACACTTTGGCCATCTGGAGGCGCAGGGCTCTGAGCTCGGTGGGGGGGGGGGGGCCCTTGGACCTCCCCCCCGTAGGTGAGGCTGGGCTTGATTCCGCAGACAAAAATCTCACCTTCCTTGGCCGCGGCTCCTCTGAGCTTGACCAGGATCTGCCTGCGAAGGCCTTTGTTCCACCGCGACTTGTTTTTGGATCGGGCACCCTTGAAACACCTGGATTTCCCCACGGTAAAATCAACTCCTAGATTGACAACGTGCCCAGCAACAGTATGACCGTAAACTCATAGCGCGGAGGGCGCCAGCTTGGCCACTTCGCTGGAGTTCGTCGTGAACTGCATGTTCTCTAAAGCAATCGGAAGCTCCAGCCTGTTGGTGAGCTGGTCGAAAACAGGCCCGCCAAAGTGGCCAACGAGTTCAAACAGCTCGCGGCCGTCGGCATGGCCACCGACGTAGTGATGTCATCAATGTGAATGGTGGGGTCCTCGTCTTTTCCTAACGTGATGTCTCGGGTCGAGGGGGGCATGTGAGCTTTGATTTCATACGTGGCCGTGGGCGAACCTGCCACGATGCCGCGCGCGGGTTCTATCTCCTCACTAAGAGCCGAGCCCATCAGTTGGCGACGAGGCCAGCGATAGCTGTTGATAGTGAAACGGACAACGCGAAGGGGAAAGCAACAATCCTTGGACTCACTCCAGAGCAATTTGTGCCCCACATGTTCATAGCACTGTTTGAGGTCCGCAAGCAAGGCCCCAACACATTTGCCTTGGTCGCGGTGGCGGTCATTTCGAACTGCCTGGCGCCAAACTGCGTCCGTGGTCGACCTGTGCGGCGCCATATTGAAGACTGGGCTGGCCGCGCAGCGAGACTCCCATCTCCTGCAGTCGTTGGCCAGGCCCTTGGAGTAAAGTCTGGTGCCAACGTGCGCATTCTCTCGGCGTTCGCAAGGAGGGATCGAAGCTCGGTTAATCTTCGCACCAACCATCGGACACAACGGGCCTCAGATCTCCCGGGGCTGTCCTTGGTGATCAAAAGGGCCCTGAGGTCGACCAGGCTAACTTCGCAGGGAAGGCCCCCCTCTCTGCCCGACGTGGGGGGGGGGGGGGGGGGCACGGAAAACCTGCTTGAGCTCTCGCCAGGCCTTGGAGCACCACTCCGAGTACACCTGGTTGGGAGTTGATTCGAGCTCAGCTTTCCCCACGCGGGAGGGGGCACGGCACCTGTCCCCTTTGGCGAAGGGCGCAGCAGCAGCATCAATTTTATCCTGGAGGTCCTGATAGGAAGGTGGAGGTAGCACTGGTCCAACTGGGAGCTGGACAGGAAGCTTCTGGTACGCCTCAAGACGTTCCACCTGTAAAAAGTATGTCGCCGTCGTTAAATGCAAATCCACTGGCTTGCGCGGGAAAACGCCACCAGAAAGATCTGCCTTGATGAAGATGAAAGCTTTGACAAGTATCTTGCTTCACTAATACGGTGCGAGCATTCAATAGAACAGGCGTGGACGCTCGGGCCGAAGATTGCCTCTCCTCCAAAGCGCTCTGGCTCGCAACCAATACTAATCTCGCCTGGCGTCATGTTGAAATCTCCACCGGCCACGAACGGTGGCCCTCGGGCAAGAACATGCCCTCCCAGCCGTTGACGGAGATCAAGATTTCGCTTCCCCAAGCCAGCTCCTGAGATCCAGTAGTTGGCGTAAATCGAGAAGACACCCAAGCTCTGAGTGCGGCAATACGCGTGGAGGATCCCCCCTGGGGCCACGATCCCTCGTCCCGTTTCTTGCCACAAATCAAGATAGCATCTGTGCAAAATGGCAACGCCTCCCGACTGGTGCCCCTTGGCGGTGGTCAGGGCGGGGGCCCCAAAACTACACCAACCAAACTTCAACGCTGTTTTGCTGGCAGCGCCTACCTTGTCCTGGCTGAGCTCATGCTCCTGGACTAAGACAATATGGGCGCGAGACTGTTTCAGGTGGTCCAGGGCCCTGGTCCAGCCTGAGGAATTGACAGTACAAATGTGAAAAGCAGGGCCACCTGAGACTGGGCGGGTGGGGGGGGGGGGTCGGGAGGCCGACAGGAGGGAGGAGTCTCATGGTGGGCCCAACTGGTGGATGGGTTACCCATCCTTCTTTGCAGGCAAACGGCTGCCGTCTCCCCTGGGCGCATCACCCTTGGGGCCTGGTTTCGTAGCCTGGGCCTCAGCAAGGGGCTTCCTGTGGGGGCTGCGGAATGCCTCAGAGCGGGCACGGCCTGCTCGATCTCCAGCACTACCTCTGGCATCACCCTGTCCTGCGTCTGCACCTTGAGCGTCAGCTGCTGGTACCTCTGCTGGGACGGGTGCATCTGCTGCGTCTGATGGAAGTGGACCGAAAATTGGTCGCAATAACTGCATTGCATTATTGATATGGCTCTCATCAGAACCAGAAACGGATGCCGCCTGTCTGGCGAGGACGGCTTGTAGTTCATCAGGGGTGAGCGCGAAGATCTGCTTGGGCGAGGGCTTGGGAGACGAAGGCCGACTTCCCGATTCACGAGCGGCCGCCACAGCCGCTTTGTGTACAGCCATCTCTGTGTTGACTTCTTGAAGCTTCCGCTTGGCGTCGGCCAGGCTCTGCTTCGCGATATCCAGCTCCCGTTCTTGCTCACGTAGGTGTGCTGCTGCATTCTGGACTTTGACTTCGAGCATGCCCACCGTCTTGGTGTGGCTCTCGACCTGCTTCTCGAACTTTGACATTTTCCCGCTGGCCACGAGGAGTCTCTGGCTGGCGGATTTTGCATTGTCTCGCTCCTCACGGAGTGCTTGGAGCTTACGTTGAAGGGCCTTGGCTGCCTCTCCCTCAGCTCCGTCTCCTCCTTTGGCGAGCGTGTCATAGGCATGCTGGGGTATTTGGATATGATGTCCAATGTTCCCAACGTTGTGTTTCTTCTCCTTGTCTGGGCTGGAAAGGTCCATGGTGTTGGGTTCGTCAGATACACCAAGTTTGAAGGGATTAGATGCCACAGAATTAGAGTCATCCCTGCCAGGAGATACAGCACGCGCATCACGACCTTCTGCTTGTGCCTGTCCTCCTTTTTTGCTTTTGCCTTTCTTGCCCTTTTGTTTGGCTTCACCTTTGTCTGCGCCTGGTAGTCCATTCCCTCGGGGGCTGCCTCCTGCGCCTCCGTGTGGGTGCGACCAACCCGTAGCCGTCTTTGTCCAATGGGAACCACAGCGCCAGCACCAATTGAGATTGCGACTGGTACTGGTTTTGCACTCACTGCACTCCCAAGACAAGTCACGTGGGGTTCCATTTGTCCTGTTTGCCCATGGCCCAATATGGTGAGGCAAGAGATGTGTCACGATGTGCGGTATCGTGTCTGAAACTGCTCTCTCGTGCTGGCTTGGCCAGCCGAGAGAAAAAAGAAATGGAAGGGGCCCCTGGCTGGGCAGCCGTCTGGGGGGCCCGAAAGGCTTGGTCTCTTGAGCCAAAAAGGCTACGGGCTACTCCTCCTCCCTTCCTCCTCCTCCTCCTCCTCCTCCTCCTCCTCCTCCTCCTCCTCCTCCGCTTCCTCTTCCTCCTCCTCCTCCTCCTCCTCCGGCGTCCTGCTTGCTGGCGCTCGTCTGCAGCATCTTCACGCCGCACACCTCGTCGCCAGCGGCGTCGCCGGCGGCGCACTCGTCGTCGACGAGCAGGGGCTGCTGCATCTCCTGAAGCGGGGAGCTCTGGAAATGACGATGCGACGGAGGAGAACAGGACAGGACAGGCGCCGATGTCGCCCCACGGACGTCCCACGTAGGGAACGGCGGGTGCGCAGGGGAGCCTCCGATTGCCCTGTGGACATACATGGATTCCAGATTCCTCCACAGCTCGTCATCGCAAGCAAGTGCTTCTCAGTCCCCACCTGAATGGCAACTTCGCAGCGGAGGAGGGCGGGCGACATCCATAGGGCCTGGAGGGGGGGGGGGGAGCGGGCGGCATGCCCTCGGTCCTGGGCTCGCGGAGCCGTCAGGGAGCCGCAGAGCAGCAGCAGGGCTGCGGCGAGGTGCAGACGGGGCATGGCCGGCTGTGGGCGGCGGCGGGGCCAAGGGGCTCGTGACCTGGCTGGCAAGGGCCAGCGCCGAGCGGCCAGAGTTGCTTGAGCCAAAGGTCGCCCTGGCGCGCGGGGTTCCCAGACTGGCGGCCCGCTGCTTGCGGGTAAGGGCGAGGGGCCTCCCGCCGGGGACGACTGCCGGCGACGGCGGTGCCAACGGTGGGCGCGACGTTGCGACGATGGCCTGGCTCGTGACCAGCATCAGAAGACTGCCACAAGCCTGCCACAAGAGCATGGGGCGACAGTCGAGCGGAAAGGGCTGGAGACGGAGTCTCCAGAAGCGCAGTGTCCTGAACGGCGACCGCATTCCAGTGCAGGCCTTACTGTCCCCTCAGGGACGTAAAGGAAAAACAAAAAGACGGGCCCTAAGCAAACGCCCCAAGAGTCATCACAAACCTGTCCCCTCCCCCATATCCCCTCGCTCTCAGTTTCTCTCACCCTCCACGTCTCTTTCTCATCATCATCTCTCCATGTTGCGGCCTTCTCTCGACTTGGAAAGCGTGGCGTGAAATGTTACGGCGGGTCAAATAAAATGTGCCTCCTCCTCCCTCCTCCTCCTGCTCCCCCTTCTCCTGCCAACTTCCTGATCAAAAATTCATCCCTGTCGCACCTGGAGGCCTGTCGAAAGGGCGGGCTGGGCGTTTCGCCTGAGACGTCCTCACCATTTATGATGATGAAGCTTAGAATTTGAAACAGCTGCTCGGATGGAGGGCGGGCGGTTTTCAAAATGTGGCTCTCGCCCTAGCGCCGCGCAGATCTGTCTTACAAGCTTGCTAAAGTTACGGATGGAGGGCGGGTCGTTTTCAAAATGTGGCTCTCGCCTCAGCGCCGCGTACATTCGTACAAAACATGCGAGACCTTCACAGCTTGAGGTAGAGTGGTTGGCTCTCACCTTCGCGACTCGCGCATTCATCCTGCAAATGCAACAACAGCTTCACGGATGGAGCGCCACGGACATTCGGTCTTCAGCAATGTCAAGATTTCATAGTTAGACATGGTGTGTTGGCGCGAAGTCGGACTGTCAGGGCGCACCACTTAAGTACGTTCATTCGCGATGCTGAAATTCCACAAATGGTGTTGCAAGGTTCGACATCATCAAGACGCAGCAGTAACAGTGATTCGCGGCGTTGAATTCCCAGGAAGCGTGCTCTGGCACCGCTCAGGATTTTCAAACGGTTCTCTTCCAACGGGGCACTTCCCTCAGTGAGAATAAAGCCTTGTAGAGACCTATAAATATGAAACTTGGAGGGAGGGTGTATTGGCGTAGGTGTCTAGAGGCCTCTCCTAGACGGGGTCGGAACACCTGGGGTCGGAGGACCGTGCCGCATCGCCGACACATCGGCCGTGCATCGGCGATGCACCGGCGATGCATCGTCAACGTCGGCGATGCATTGGCGACGTCGAAAGCAAATCGGGCCCTACATCGAGCCGCATCGGCGATGCATCGGCAATGCAGCGCAGTCCTCCGACCTCATCCACTCCGACCCCATCTAAGAGGCCTAGAATATTGGTGATGAGTCTTAGGTTTGCACTGGTCCCACTCCTCCTCCCCATCCTTCCTCCCTCCTCCCCCCTCCTCCCCTGCCTCCCCCTATCCCTACCTCATCCCTCCCTCCCTCCCTCCCTCGATCCTCCTCCCCCTCCCCCCATTCCCCCCCCGCCCCTCCTGCCACCTGCAGGGCGCAGGTGGGCCCGAGACGTCTGAGGCCGACGGCGGCGCTTTTAGCTGCGGCGCGGGGCGACCAGGTCGTCCCGCGGAAGCTCGCGTGCGCCACCCCGGGGCCGCGGAGGAGAGGGTGCTGCCACCAGGGGGGCGAAGACGAAGCCGCCCGCGCCCGCGCCTGCTGCAGAGGCGCAGGGCGGGCAAGGAGCTCGCGGCGAGGGTGCCCTCGCGCCGGGCGGGCGAGGGCCCCGAATTCGGAACCGGGAAAAAAAGGGGCGGGCGCGGCCGCTGCCCTCTCCGGGGAGGGGGGGGCGATCGAGGGGAGAGGGCGGCGGCTCAGCACCTGCTGCCGGTGGACCCGCACGTCTTGCGCACGGTGGCGCGGTCCAGCGACCCCGACCCCTGGGCGCCCCCGTCAACGGTGTGCTCCTGGACCATGAGAGCGTTTCTTTATTTTTGGTGATTATGGGCGTCATGGGGGGGGGGGCGAGCGCGGGGGGGGGGGGATGACGTAACGCCCCCCCCTGCCGCGTGGCTCCGACACCACAGCCGAGCCCGCGCGCACGTCGACGATGAGCGACGAGCGACGAACGAGGAGCGACGACGACGACGACGACGACGCGAGCAGCATGTAGGTGGGGATCTGCCCCACGCCACCTGTGTACACCACAATGCTTGCGTGCACCACAGCGCGCGTGGACACCACAGCGCCTGCGTCCACCGCAACAGCCGTGTGCAACGAAGCGCCTGTGTTCACCACAATGTTTGCGTGCACCACAGCGCCGGTGTACACCACAGGGAATGTGTACACCGCAGCAACCATGTGCAATACAAAACTTGTGTACACCACAATGCTTGCGTGCACCGCAGCGCCTGTGCACACCACAACGCCTCTCTCTCTGTCTCTCTCTTTTTCTTTTTCTCTCTCTCTCTCTCTCTCTCTCTCTCTCTCTCTCTCTCTCTCTCTCTTTATACCAAAGCATTCTCGTGCAACGGAACGTCGTACTACACCACAACGCCTGCGTGCACAGGACAGATAGAAGGAGCATGTAGGTGATGATCTGCTGCGAACAATTTACTGACACGCTAGGGAGGGGCTGATAATAGAATGCGATGATCTTTCCTTATCCGCCACCTCCGCCACCTCCACCTGCTCCTGTTCCTCTTCCTTCTTTTCATCTTTCTCCTTTTCCTTTTCTTCCTCCTCCTTTTCCTCCTCCTCCTCCCTGTCTCCTCCTCCTCCTCCCTGACCCGTCCCCCCTGTCGTGCGGGTCGGCGCTACAGCGCACGTGCGCATCTCAGCGTGCACAGCATAATGGTTTATTGAAGCAGTCCGCCTGGTTCTCGGACGGCCAATTTTGCTGGAGCCTCCTGGACGCAGATTAGAAAACTTAGGATGATGCGGGCGGACTCGGGAAGTCTCGTAGATTCCAGCGGCGCTCCCTTCTCCATGAGGATTCGTTGCCACATTTTATATGAACTATTTCTTCAGTGGAGTCGACAGGCGCTCCAATTTGTCAGAAGGACTCGTTCAAAACATCCACGTTCAACAGTGGAGTGCACATGCACACGGCTTCTGTGGTGCACACACGCGCCGTGAAGTACACAGGCGCTGTACTGCACGCATACATAGTGATGTACACTGGTGCTGTGTTGCACGCGGGCGCTGTGGTGTACACAAACGCTGTGGTGGCGCGGCTGCTGTGGTGTACATAGGCAGTGTGATGTACACAGGCGCTGTGGTGCACGCAGGCACTGTGGCGTACACATGCGCTGTGGTGCTGATAACCACCTACATGCTGCTGCTTCCCGTCCTCGGTCATTCCTAAGCATTCCCAGACGCCGCCGGCGCGAAACGTGACGTCATCGGCCCCGTTGCACCCCAGGCTCCAGCCGCGTCCGCGCGCACGACGACGATGAGCGACGAGCGACGAGCGACGACGACGACGACGACGACGACGACGACGACGACTGCGGACCAGACTCCTATGCGGACGGCCGTTGCGGATCCCGATGCGCATGGCGGCAGTGCCCGGAGCGCACTGGGGGGGGGGGGAGCGTTACGTCATAGGGGGAGGGGGGCGGGGGCCATGACGCCCGTCATGCCCCAAGCAATCAAGAAACACTCTCCATCCCCGCCGCAGCCTCCAGGGGGAAGGCCACTGTGCGCACAAACGCCGACCCTGGCCAAAGCCCGTCCCGGGCCCAGGGTCGGGTACGCTCCCTCCCGGCGAGGCCCAGGGAGGCGCATGAGCCCATCCTGGGCCCAGGATGATGGGCCTTGGCCAGGACCGGTGCAGGCGCACAGCTCTCCTCGCCCGAGGGCCTCGGCGCCCTCGCCGGACTGCCTCTGCAGCAGCGCCTCGGCGGCCGCGCGCGCCGCGGCCGCCCCGGCCTCCGCGGCCAGGTCCGGGATGCTCTTCGGGGCCGCGCCCTTGCCGTCCTGGGGCGGGGCGGGAAGGGGGGAACCCGCCCCTCTGCGTCCGCCTCCACCTCCCCCTCGGCCTCCGCCTCCCCTTCCGTCTCCGCCTTCCGCCTCTGCCTCGGCCTCCGCCTCTGCCTCCCGCCTCTGCCTCCGCCTCCGTCCCTGGGGGACGGAAGGGGAAAAACCCTCCCCTCATCTTTGCCCCTCCTTCCCCCTTCCCGCCCCTTCCCTCTCCGCCTCTGCCTCCGCCTGCTCCCGCCCCCTGCCGCCCGGGGCTGGCCACTCGACGGAAGCCCGGGCCGACAAGTTGTGGATGGGGACGGCCGACACGGTCCGGGTCGGGGAGCTCCAGAGCGTGAGAGTGCGCAAGCGCTGCACTGATGGGGGGCGGTTCGTTTTCGAGAAGGGGCTCTCGCTGGACGTGTCCTTTGACTCTATGACCCTACCTCGCGGCGCTTCTTGTAGCTGGAAAGGTGCAGGAAAGCTCAGGAACCGAACCGAACCGGCCGAACCGAACCGGGCCAAACCG